CATTTGCAGCACCAGTAATAATACTGGGTTTCAGAACAAGTATGGAATAAATGCTTAGTGCCTTTTTTCTTTTCTTTCCCCCTTCTTCTTTCCATCTTCTTCTTTCCCTCTTCTTCTTTCCCTTGAAACATCTTTATATTCCATACCATCTGGTGCTGATGATTCCCACGTAGCAAGTGCTTGATGCATGGTGGAGATACCCTGTCATAGTGACTGCAGAGACAGCCTTCAGTACAGTTCCACATTTTGAAAATGTGACAAGCTACTATTTGAAGAGCGTCATTTATAGATCAATAAACATATTGGCAAATTTATAAACTTAATACATGGAAGTTATTCCACTTTAACAGTCGTGTTGATTAAGCAGTGGGGCTCGGGGTTGATTTTAGCACACAGGAACAGTCTGCAAACTGTTACATCTTGATATATGCACAAACATGCCAGGGTAGATATTTTTTCTGAGAAGATATGAAAACACATAATGAGTATTTGTGTTGATGTGCATTTGGTTCTTTTCATGGTTTTCTTCAAAATGAAACCATTAAAACTGGCAAATGAGAATATTAAGCCTGCGATGAGCCTTTTAGAATCCACAGAGAAAGGAGCATGTTTTAAATGAATAAAAACCTGTCTAGCACTTAGGCTGTGCTAACAAAAAATGATACAGACCTTTCTTTTTTTACCAGGATGAGTTGATTTACAGAAAACATTAGGCATCTCAGTTAAACTGACAAATTACAACACTCATCCCTGCAGCTACTGAAGTGAGTTTCTGGATTGACATTTGCTTGTTACTGTTATAACCTTCCTGTTATAATCTGTTACCATCATCGTCTGCTAGATCATATTAAAGGTTGATTATTTAGTACCTATGTTTTGTTAATGGGCTTTTCATGGAGAGGTGACATTACCCGATTGTAAGTTAAGCATTTTTATTAAGATTCAGCACTGGATTGAGCACAGTAAAAGAGGCAGATAAAGCTACCAGCATCTCCATAGAATTTGGAGTTCCTGAAATGTATTTCTATTGGTTTTGTGTCACAAAACCCTTGTTTCACTGTTATTCATTGAAGAACATTGTGCGGGGCCAGGAGTTGGACTCTTATGATCCTTGTGAGTCCCTTCCAACTCAGGATATTCTCTGATTCTGTGAACTACTTGTGTTCATTTTTCAGATACTGCAAGGACAAATTAGGCATAGAGTAAGAGAAACTCATAATAGAGTGAATGTTTCTCCTCTGAATCCCCCGAGCACAAAAGGCTGAGCATTTGCACTAGAGTGTCAAACAACAGGGAGTTCATTGCACTTTTTCTGTACATTGAGGAAACAGGGGAACTTACGTTCTTACCAGTTGCTTTCCAGGGAATAAATACAAAATGGAGTGGAAATGTCAATGTGTATCTCTAGTTACTGTCTTAGTTCTCCTCCACACTCTCCTCCTCTAAAACAGCACATTTATTTCGTATAAAATATATCAAAATAATTCTGCCAGGTCTTATCGTGCCTTCTCTGGAAAATTATGGCCACGATGACTGCAAGAACTTGCGCATCACAGAGCTTGTTTTGCCAGCCATTTCTCAGGTCAGGGTTACAATTTCAGGAATAAGGTGGTAAAGTCCTGGAAAGAGTTCCAGAACCTCATAAGTTTGAAGGCCTCTTAGAGCTTTCCTAGGCTGTCACTGTGGGTAAGGACATACCAAAAGCAGTAGAATTCAGATGGAGTCTGCTTCGTGTGATGGTAGTAGGATGGGGTTTTTGGAGCATGGAGGCACAGTCATTCAGCTTAGGGAGTGAGTGGTGCAGTTGATACATCTATAAGCAACATGCAAAGAGGAGAAAAGGAAGTTTCCACATTGAACTGTGGCTTGGTTGATGCTGGTGCCTGAGTCAGTGTTAAAGCTGGTGGTCATTTTCTAAAGGCTTCACCATGTCTTTCAAACCATGCAGGGCTTTCCACACACCCTCGTTCCTCCTGACTTACCAGGCTTGCACCCACTGTGGCATCTTCTGTGAGGAGTAAAGCTGTACTTTAAAGGAGGTCTCCTGAACTGGAGGGTACCAGAGGCAGTGGCTGCTCACTTCCAGGATTTGCTGTGCTTGAGGGGTTGGTAATGGATGGTGAGATAAGATCAGCAGGCACTGCAAAATGCAGAGGGTGGCAGTACAATTCTCACTTGCTAGAGCAGCTCTTCAGGAGCCAGACACAGTCTGTGCTGGTTTTGTGGTATGGTGTGGTTTGTTGCCAAGATTTTTGCTGTGCCAGTGGAGAATGTAGAAGCCCAGTCCAAGTTGGAGACCTGTGTCTGTGGGTGGGTAGAACTTCACCGCACACCTGTCCATGACACAGAAGCAGGACATGCAACCATCCCTTTTTCTCCAGCCAGATAAACCCAGAGATGTCCTGTGGAGGCACCGCTCATGGCTAACGTGTGCCTTTTTGTGCCAGTGTCCTTTTCAGTATGCTGGAGGAGCACTCACTGCAGTAACATGGGCCAGTGTCACTCATTACTTTACCTGTTTTATCTTTTGTGAAATTGAGCCTTTAGCCAGAATTGCCTGAGCTGCTGCTCCAGCAGTCGGTTAACTGTGAGGCTCCTCGAGCTCATTTCTCTCAAGTAATTTGATTCCCACGTGCTCCCTGAGATTGCTTTCTTGCTGAAAGGAAAGTGGGAAAGGGGGGATGGGGGCGTGGATGGGAGCAGACCAGAAATGTTGTGGCAGGCAAATGTAGCTTAGAGATAAAAGCAATGCAAAAACATGTTTTTAAAAGATCCCATCTCACTTTATCTTCCTGTAACCTGGTCCTATAAACCAAAATGTTTTTCTGGTCAAGAATCAGAGACACAGAGTCTTTTGTACTGGTGCAGGGTATGGAACAGGAGGCTGAATTCCATCCTGCTTCTGCATAGAGCCAGTAAGATAATCCTTTCCTTAAGATTAGCAGAAATGTGTGTAAAATGCTAATTAGATTGTTATTTTTTAGGGGTAACTGATCATAAAAGGCTCTTATGAATTTCAACGTATTTTCTGAAACCATACAGAGAATTCAAGGCTCTTTATTTTGGTTGCTGGACTGTTTCCTTTACATTGTGGTGGCTTAGGAGTAATTGAACATCAGTTTTCTAGATAAGCTTCTATTTAAGACTGGTTAGTATGGCAGCCATTTTCTGAATAGTTTGCAATTTATGCAGAGGTTCTATACAATCACCAGTGCTTTATCACAGTTCTGGGCAAATACCCTGCTACAAGGGAGTGAGAAACAAGCCTGAAAAGTTAATCTTGCTGGAGGGAGAATTGTTCTGAAAATAAACCATTCAGTGCATAAACAATGGTATATCAGTTGTCTGAAATACGCATTTGTCCCTCTGCATGTGCTCATTGTATGTCCAGGCTGAGCTGCCACGCTCAGGGTATGGAATTTGTGTGTGAGAAAGTCGCAGTTTGTTAGGTAGGATATTACTAATTTGAGCAGACAGTCTGCTTAGAGGTCTCTTATGGATGAAAATGGGGCTGTTGGAAGTCTGCTTTGGGTTTCGTTAATGGTCATTAGTTTGTGCCATGAGACATATGCCTTGATGATATCAGCAGCATTATTAAATGTCACAAAAGTACATTTTCCCAGTAGCAATAGAAGTATATCCACGGTAACATTTGTACGGTCCAAGCTAATTTTCCATCGTGGGCTTTGTAAAAATGCTTTTAAAAATGTAAAAATCTGCTTCACTGAGAAGTGTGTGCAAAGGAAGAACATGCTAAATGTTGGTGTTACACAAAGATTGACTATTTTACTTGCCGTTCTTGCTGGATGGTTGTCATCTATCACTTCAAATAGTAACATGCTGCTGGACCAAGTCCTTGTGGGGTCCAGTTGCAGGGAATGTTGTTCTGGGGATGTGACTCAGTAGAGGGACTTTGTTTCGTTTTGGTTTTTCAAATCTTGCAATGTACAAGTTGTGAAAAAAGATTAAAGAGAATATGAACCAAAATGCTGGACAATTGTAATTTTTACAGTGTCTACACCTCAGTTTATGGTGCGGGGGTGATGTGTGATGTAAGAAAGGCTTGATCTACACAGCTGTACACCAAATTTCATGACTTTTTCTTTCTAGCCCTATTGCTTACTTGTCCACTGTGCCTGCAGCTCCACCTTTCAAAGCCTGTTCTATTAATCTAACCTACTGAGAGCAATTCATAGAGCTTATGGGTTTTTATTTTTAAATCCTCACATAAATGATTTGCTGCCCTCAAGTTAGGAATTTAAGGGAAAATTAAATTAAGGCTGCCTAAGTAATGAAAACATCTTTGGGTTTGATAGATAGAGACCATCAAAGTAAAAAGTCTGTATCCCTGGAAAGATTTCTGATATTGTTTAATGCTGGGTGGAGTTACATCATGCAACATCAGGCCTTGAATTCATACCCTTATGCTTCATGAATTCCTTGATTTCCAAAGTTGTTTGTTACGATTTAGGTCATAAATTGAGAGATTTCCAACTCAAGCATTTCTGTCTTTATAAGGCCTGTAGCATTGGGGTCATAGTGTGCTATAGTTTTGCTGACAGATGGATTAAAGAAAGAAAGCCTTAAGAAAGCCCTTATGCCTTAAGGAACATCTAAATTTTTCTTGCCTGCCATGAAATGTAAGCCTAGTATTTGTTACTGTGATATATGTGTTATATGGTTGCCTGCCTAGTATGACACATATATAGCTCTCTATTGTTTCTTCTTCTCTTGAGTGGTGGAGCTTTCCTAACAAGAATTAAATAAAAAAAAATAAAAATAAATCAAATAAAACATCACTGAGCCTATTTTCAATTTATATAGCTGGGGAAAAAAGTAATTGGTGTTACCTAAAACCTTTACAAAAAATTGAAGGGAGTTGACCAACTATAGTTCCAAAACCTTTCAAAAAATAGGAAGGAAAAAAGTCCAGATTTTTGTTTTCTTATATATTAAAAAATGTATGCCTTTTATTTATCTCTCATTTCTTCTTTCTTTAGGTTTTCCAAATGAGCCTGCTGCTGTCATTGCCCTTAACACTATTAAGGAATGGTTAAGCAAGAATCACAATGAGGTATGGATTAAAATACTTTTTTTTCTTTTTTTTTGCAAATTTCTGTTTCAGATTATGGTCTTTGACTCCAAAACTGTGAAAAGAGTAAACACAGGCTTGAGCCTCAAAGCCTTTTATTATTTAGTCTTAAGACCAGTGAAGTCAGGTCAGGGCAATATAGCCGGGGGAAGATTGTTGTATCTAAAAGCTACACTGGAGTTGAAGGGAAATACCTTTGTTTGAAACCATACTGTGCATTTCCTGTGCATTGTAATCTTTCCTGGCAAAGCAACAGACTATTCTCTTCCTAAGCTGTTTCTGAGTGTCAGAGTTTTTGGGTAATAATGAGGAGATTCTTGGAAAGGAAATGTTGTTAGTCGAAACAACCACCAAAGGTCAGTGGTGTTCCAGGGGTTACTTTACAGTAAAGAGCTGTCGGTTGGTATTTTCTATTTTCATTAATTTTTTGTTTGCTTACAGTTAAGTGTTTGTTTTCGCTGAAATACTCACTAAATACATGAATTTTTAACAGGACTGGTCGTCTTCCAGTGGCAACATTGGATAGTGATTATTTGTACAAGACAAAATGCTTTCTGCAGAATGATCTCCACCTCTCCCCTTTCTAGTTTTTGTCTTTGTGTGGTTTTCTTAGCAGGCTGATAGTTCCTGGTGTTGGATTGGAGAAATGCAGCAAAGAAGTGACAAAACAAATAAAATAATCATGTCTTAAACTGTCAATCTGCCTGTTTCCTCACAATGACAGCCAGCAGATTTCAGACAGCTAGAGTCGTTCAGTATTTTGTCTAAAAACATTGAACAAAGCATCCAGTGGAGAAGCATTGCATACAGGGACATAATTAGTAGTATTTTTCCTCTAGCAATGTATTCAGAAGGCCTTTTTTTCCCAAGAATCCGATATGTTGAGGGTTTGAATTGAGCAGGTTTATGCTGTTTGTTTTGGGTTTTGCCAGCTTTGAAGTGAAAGGAAATAATATATTGACATTTGAATGGGACATTGAGGTTTTCAAACCTGGAGGTGCACTAAAGGGTGCATACATCTTTGGACACTGGTTCTTTATAGCAGTGAGTACTTGGTTGCTGTAGCTTTCATCGCTGCCACAGTGGCTTCCTGTGACTTAGAGACCTGAGCAGTGAAGCAGGAGTTTTGGATGGACAGGCTTTGTTAAGCACTATACATGCCTAAGTGTCATCATCTTAGCCCTAGACTTATATTTTTTGGGATCTTGTCTGTTAATTTATAATTTTAACCTTGAAGTGTGAGGCTACAACCTCTAAGTTTGTGCTGCTTTACCATCTTATAATGTCTCCTAGTTGCATTTTTACCACATAATTTAAAAAAACAGACTAAAAATAGTTTTCTTTTTTTCTCTGGAAATAAGCATTTCTTCCTCAATAGCTGAGTCTGTGTTGTATATACACCTCCTACCTTGCTCCCTACAAACTCTAATTTAACCAGAATTATTTTGAAATAAGTAGCTGTAGTTTACAATGTTTGGACAGTGAAAGGAGCCCAGGCTGTCCTGACTACAAAGCAATTGTTAAAAATTATCCTACTGAGCTTATACCACAGCTGTTTGTTCAATTTGGACTAGTATAGCTCACAGTTGTTGTCTTAAATGTTTCCTGACACCCTGAATCCCAGCCTAACCAAGTTGGTCTCATGCTGTTTGATGCACATGTGATGCATTTGATACAATTATTGCATATCAGTGAATATGACAGTTCAGAGCTAATTCCCAAGAGCTTTTGTTGATTTTTTGAAGGAAATGGAGTGCTAGTTTTCAGCCAAGATAAATTTTAAGAATTTGGTTATCCTTAGCTTCGTACTTTCTCATACGAAGCTCTCCCTCTTCTAAGGCTCTTCTGCAATCTATTGGCTTGAATTTTAGACTGTGGCATAGTAGCAAGTTTTACATGTCATAAATAGGACAGCAGCAAAATAAAGATACCTAATTTTATTGAAGATAGCAGTAACTTATGCAGTAAAAGGGATCTTTGGGAAGCATACCATTGCTAGGTTGCTGTTGTTTAATGTGTACAGCAAAGCGAGCATAGTTCATCTGGTTTAGAAGAACTGATTTAGCCCTGTGCCAAATGTCAATCTGATCCATTTTACACTGTCACAGAATCACAGAATGGTTTGGGTTGGAAGGAACCTTAAAGATCATTTCATTCCAACCCCCCTGCATGATGAGATGCCACCCACTAGACCAGATTGCTCAGGGCTCCATCCATCCTGGCCTTGAACACCTCCAGGGATGTGTACACTTACTCCCTTGGATTAGATTTTGGGCTTTGAGTAGTAATATCGTACATTAGCCAAACTTTTCCCCAAAGCAGCTCATCATACAGCAACGGAATGAAAAGGACTTTCTGTGTCTCAACAATACAGTCTGCTCTTACTGCAGACAGCCATATGATAGAATCCTCTCTATAAACTTCTGTCATAGAGACAGAGCAATTCCCACTACACCCATGGGATATTTAAATTCACATGTTCCAGTCTGGGAGCACAACCTCTAACGATTTGCCACGAGGGCAGCTTTTCAGAGTGCTGCCCACACTTCACTCCTGTTATCCCTGACCAGACCTGCTCCCCTGACACTGCCTGCGCTGTCAGGATGAGTCTGTGTGTCCTGCTAACAGCCTCTCTGAACAAGAGAGGCCCCCTGCACTTGGCTCTGCCGGAGTTAAACGAATCAAAGTCAACTCCTTCCCCTCATTCCTTCTTGTGCAATCTGCCTGCCTTTGAGAGGGTTCTGCTCCTTTAGTCCCAAGGGTGTCTGGCAGCCAGTTCTCCCCGTGGACCCAACCACTCACTAAGGTCTCAAACTCTTTGATTGTAGAATGTGAATTGATTGAATGAATTGAAGAAGTTTTAGTGCAAGGCAGAAGCCAGAATGATAGCAGGCTCACAAGGGAATTTGCCTCCATGGCAATGCACCTGGCAAAACCAGGTAGGTGAATAAGATAGAAAGCTGACTATTTTCTAAGCCTTTTATTGTGCTCTACAGCAGCCATGTCTCCTCTGCCTTCCTGCATCCCAGGAATCTGTGACAAATTTGTGAAAGATAAGGCAATATTGTTGTTTTCTCCTCTCTGCCTTCCTGTAGTACTTCTTTCCTTTGATGCTATAATGAAGATTTTATCCACACTGATATTAATTCAAAATATAAATAAACCAGTTGCTACATTCCTTAGTCAGCCTGGGGGCCTGAAAATATCACCTAAATGACTCCTGTCTTGCAAGTTGTGTTAAGAGTCCTGAGAATTTCTCTGTCATAGTATTTACAAGACAAGTGATTTGCATTTAATGAAAGGTTTTCTTATCCAAGCCCGTGGTTGTGCTTGACCCCTCAGGTGTTTGTATAAAAACTTATTAGCATGCTTAACTCTGATGTCACTCAGATGAATGTCTCATTACCATGCAAATGGAGTTAGCTCCTTTCTGAGGTTAATTGTAACAAAGCAACAGAGAGAGGGAGAGTTGTATTGTAATTTACTGAAGGTACAACCATCATAGTCCAGCAGCCTAAAACTCAACTACATAAAGTCCGCTGGGGAAAACAACCAGCAATGGTTTGAACTCAGTTGTGTGTAACAGCAGCACTGTTCCATCTTGAAATGCAGCCCTTAGTCAAACTAATCTCTGGCCATGCTTTACACCAAGGTCTGCTGACTTGCAGCCAGAGGGCAAATCTAGTTTAGAAGCTGGTAAATGGTGTTATGCTCTAAGTGTAGAAATCCCTTGGAGCAAACTCCCTGGAATGGCCACAGTCAGCAGTAGTGGTTAATTTGCTGCAGACCACCTAGGCTATCTTCTTAGCAAACTGCATTTTCACATTTCACAAAGTGCTCTGGAAGTCTGATGGAATTCTTCAGAGCACAAAATAGAATTGGAGCCCATCTTTTAGGAAATTATACACTGGGATTCATTTAAAAATGCACATTAAGCTCTTTGAACAGGTCAGAACATTTCTTTCTGTGATAATTTGGTCAAGTTTGAGGTGTTGCCACCTGATTTCCCATAATGGCATCACAAAAAAGTTGTGACACCTTTAAATACTTAAACCCCTCTATGTTTTTGAGGGTGATGGGGACAGAGCTATCTTTGGTTTTTTGTGGCTGATATCTTGGAATGTTTGCAATGGTAGAAATTATCTGCTTTTACTTTACTGTGCTTCTCAAAAAGGTGAAAAATAAAAAGAGCTCAGTGTGTGCCTTACCTTATGTCACTGACATGAAAAGCCTCAGGATTTTTTCACTGCTCAAGAAAAGACTTTAATTTAACAGCACATTTAGTTCAAAGTATTGTTCTTTCTCTTGCACAATATCTCACAACATTTATTACCCACCCCAGTAGAACAACAACCAGGAGAGTGCGATGGCAATATATGTGCCATTGAAATAACTGATGCAAATTAAAAGCACATAAATGGGAAATAAATCAACAAATTCCTGATTTCTTTTCATTAGACTCACTGCTGAAGAGAGACTTTTTCTTAGTTTGCATGAAGTACATGAGCTTTAGGTCCCCATGTCTTAGCATGTGTCATCCCTCAGCCAAAAAAGATGTGTGCATTTTCAGCAAAACAAGATGAGCAAAATCCTGGTTAGGTTGGAATAAGTGGAATTCTCTTTTAAGTGCTAGGTACTGGTGCCTAGTTTGGAGAGAGGAGATGTCATGATGGACAGCTACTGCCTGAGAGGACAGAGCAAAGGGAGTTACCACTGCTCTCTGTTGCACAAGGCAGGCTTGACTGAAAGATCATTTCATTATTAATTTTAATTTGTTTTTAATTTCTCTTTCCCCCTCCCTTTGGTGGTCTCAGCAATCTAATTTTGGCTCTTCATTCTTCAGAGACAATTAAACAAAGTGGCATCGTGAGACGAGGTCTTGTCTTTATCTCTCCAGAAGGATGCAGATGGAGTCAGTGTGTCTTGGAAAATGTTGCCTGATGCAGTTTCATTTAATGCAACCTCAGTTAGATTCCCAGGGG